TGACCAAATAATATATTACTAAAAAATATATTTCGTCACTTAAAACTGTCAATTTTCTCTAATCAATGCATCCCACATCGATAAAAAACACATATGAGAATAAGATTTTGCACTGTAAATATATCTCACATCGATAAAAAATATTTAAGAAAATAAATTTTTGCACTATAAAACATGTGAAACTCAATAAAACTTAAGATTAGTTTGGGCCTGATTAATTTTAATCGTGCTTGATTAATTTTAATCAAAATTGATTAGTATTGAAATAATTATATTTTTTATTAAACTTTTGTGATAAATTTATATATTATTTTTTGTGACAATTTTTGTTAAAATATTTGTGTTATAATTATATAAAATATCTTTTTTATTTAATATCAATTTTAATAATGAATGACTAAAATTTACATCATAATTGCATTTGTGACGAATATTTTTTTGTGACGAATAAAATTGTTATAAATAACTTGTTAACAATGTCAATTTTTTCTATCACTGTAAAATTATTTTTTATGACAGGTGCCTAATTTGTCACTAAGAGCATTAGTGATAAGTGTTTTATTAACGGTTTAAATTTTATCACTAATAATAATTTGTGATGAAAAATAAAGATTTAATTATCAATAATTTAGTCGCTAAATGTGGATTTTCTTGTAGTGTATTATTAAATGGAGCAGTATAGAAATCACCAAGAGTACAATATGTCATAATAATTTTTAAAAAAGTCCAAACCCTAACAATCACATTATGAAGTTGTTTAGTATAGCGATTTAGATTTAACAATTAACGATTTTGTTCAAATTGCTATGTAATAGTGTTTGGTAGTAGTTGCTAAATGTTTGGTGTTTTATAAATTGTTATTTAGTTGTTTGATAATCATGATTTGAAATTAATCTGTTAATGGATTGAAAAGGCTCTTTAAAGTGGTTTTTTGTTTTTCTTACCATATTGCTAAAACATTAGAATCTTTAAATTAATATGACAAAGTTACCCAAAAAATAATTAGGCATAAAATGCAAGCGCAACTTCTCCCCTCCTATTTTTGAGGGGGGTAGAATTGGAGTTTCAAAAATTTCTTTCCCTTTTGCAACCACAAAACAAAAATCGAAGAGAGTAGAGAAGAGAAACTTGCACAAAGATTTTATAAAGGTTTGGTCTAAGCAGTTGGTACTTAGTCCTTTACCTTGACTTCACCCACTAAAGATTTTCTCCACACTTTTCACTAATAAGATCAAGGGTGGCTTAAAAGAGTCACTCAATCCCTTTACAAGAAAATGGGTTTTCTCACAAATCTCACCCCTTTACAAGACAAACCTAATAATCCTCACTACAAATCATTCTTGAAGGAATAATCATACCTCCAAGATAACTTCCAAAGAAAACAAATAGAGGATTACAAGTGAAGATCACTTAACGATCAAAATCTCAAGTTAAAGCACAAGGATCACAAATTAGTAAATGAGAGATATACAATGAAAAATGTCTAAAATTTATTTTAAGACTTCTACCAATCATATTTATACCTCTTTGGTCCAAAATATTTGTTTCTAGCCATTGGGATACATTTAATGTCTTGCCCAGATCAGTCTAAGTTTGAGAAAACACACTATAGACTTTATTAGTAGAGCCAGCTATACCTTTCGAGCCAGCTATGAAGAGCCAGCTATCATAGCCATAGTTGGCTATCGTATTCTGTCTACACTTTCTATTTTTTTGTTGAGTTGGTTGCAAAACACAAAGTTGGCTTAAGAAACCCGACTTCTAAAGATTAAAATATCATTGAAGAAGTTGACCGTTAAGTATTAAATGTGCCATCATAGCTGCTTGCAGAGTTATAGCCGGCTTTGCATCCATTTTCCAAAGTTAGTTGCAGTTTTCATAGCTAGCTTTTTGCATTTTTCTTCACTAAAGCTGACTGTAGAATTATAGAATTGGCTCTTTACATTTCATCAGGCTCTTTGCATTTCTCTAGAGCCGACTGCAAAAAATCGTAGCCGACTCTCTGCACCAATTTTAGCATTTTATTTCTTTAGTGTAGTCCAAGTTCATTCACTTTTGCCAGCTTTTATTTTATAAACTACACACTTTGATAAACAAATTAATGATTCAAGTGTGTTTTATAATCATCAAAATTATAAATATAACAATTTCTTCCTTTTTTATGATGACAAAACACTTTGATAATAAATTGATAAAAGCAAATATACTCCCTCTAAGTTTATGCTTATATTCCTTGACAAACTTAAGCATCAAATACCAAAACATTTTAAATTTTCAAGCACCAAGTTCATAAAAAGAGTCAAGTTTCAAGCCATGCAAGCATGAGAACATAATGCAACCAAAAAATTTCAACACATATATAGTCAAAGAGTAACCCAAAATTTTAGCATATAAACAATCCATAAATAACAATAAAGCATAAAAATTCAGCAAATTTTCACCTTTTTTGTCATTCATCATAAAGCATATAACTATAACCAAATAAACTCCCCTTTAACACATGCATATCCACCTTTAAATCACCAAAAACATGCAAGTCTAGCACAATATCAACAAACATATTGCTCCCCTTCAATGGAAGTACTCAAGAATATAATCAACCAAGAGAAAATCATCAAAATCATGATCAAATTACAAAGTCATAAACCTTCAAAATCCACAATTCATGATAATAAGCTAAAGAAATGAGCATAGATAATGGGGGCAAATTTTAGGAGAGAATCAAATATGGAATGTGAGGAGAGAGAAGGTAGAATATGCAAAAATTGCCTAGGAGAGCTGGCTATGAGAGCAAAGCGGCCTTTGATGTCTAATCGAGTTGGGTTATGGCTGAGGATCTGTCACGCCCCAGGACCCGAATCCGAGAACGTGGCAGACGCTGTGCACTCGTGAGAAGGTCCCACAAATGTACAAGGCTTGGAACTTATCCAATTCACATCTGACTATCCAATAACTTAAATCAAATATTTCAATTTATTTCTATATCCAAAATGACTTACATCCAAGTAATTGATCTAATGACCGAAATCTATTTTGATCTCATAAATTCAAGGTAAAATCTATCTTACAAAAGCATGATTTATTTCTACAATCTATATCAATCTCGAAATGGCTAGCCTTCTAACTCGTCACTTCCCGTGGTTTCACCATCCTCGGTTTCGCTTCCTGAAATGGTGGACAAGAAAAAACTATGAGATAAACTCAGTAAGTAAAATATGAAGTGCCCTTATTAAACTTATAGCATGCCAACAAGTGCAATCATGAAAAACGGATACAGTACAGGAATGAAATAGATGTCTCCTCTATAGGTCATGGCCAGTGTTATAAACCTCCCACTGGCAGGCTACACTATTTGCTGGTGTACAATCCCCACTAGCAGGGTCACTCGTACGAATCGGCTCTATCACTAATATGTCGACATGTGCTAGCGTTTGACCCTCACTAGCAGGGTCATCAATAACATAACCACATTGGAGACAAAACAGGCAGAAGTTAATAGAAAAATCATAATTTACCAATCACTTTCAAATCATCAAGACAATCAATTAAATAGGCATGCTCAATTTAATGAAAAGCATAAAAATTTCACTTCAAATTAATCATACTTACTTTTGTATAAAACAGGTTTAGTCCCGCCACCATTTCAAAAACAAATCAAAACATGCTTTTGAAAACTGTACAGGCATTATCATAAATTTACTTACCTCATTCACATAAAACCGAAGACTCGATCTCGGTGCTAAACTAACAGAACGATCAAAAACCTAATCAAAATATTCCAAAATTAATACCGCACTATCGCAAATTCAAACTAAAATCATCATTAGGATCACCCCTAATCACAATGCTATTTCTATTAGCCTCCATATGATCGGACATCTCCAAATTTATTCTTATATTACAAACTAAATATTTAAATCCCCGTTAATTGTTGGTCATCAGTGCGTGAACAGCCCATGAACAGTAACTGATATTTCCAGAATTCAACTACAGCCAGCTAAAAGACCAGAAAAATGGATATTTCATCAGATTTTTCAGAGCATAAACGGACTTACAAGGAGCAGAAAACAGTAGCAAATTGCAGAATTTTCTGCGTGAACAGTAACTGGTACGCGTGAACAGTGAAATCTGTGGCAAAATAGCAGGATTTTCACGTAGAACAGCAGCTAAATTTCAAGCCAAAACAGGTTTATTTCTACATGAACTAAGCCTAAAAAAACACGTTTAAAGGCTGCTAATTTCTTCCCCTATTTCGGCAGAAATTTGAACAGTACAGGGGCAGCAATTACATGGATGATTTCAGCAATTAAATGGGTGAAATTGGACTTAAAGAAGCTGTCAACATACCAAAATTTTCCCAGCAGAAACCGAGCTTGGCTGGTGAGGAAGCCGACGGGATCCTGGAGGGAAACTCACGGGAACTACCCAAAATTCAAGAACCACAACCAAAAATTAGAGTAACCCAAGTTAAATCAAGGCTAAGGAGATGATTTCTTGGCTGTGGCTTACCAGAAAAAGCCGAAGGATTCACACCCAGCAGAAACCGACGGACAAGGGAGGAAGAGACACCGACCAGATCTGGAATTTCTGGGTTGAGAGAGAGAATTCTAAGTCCTAAAACTTGTTATTGAGCAAGAAAGAAGGAGAAATTTCAAGCTTTCTACCGGGTTTTTCTTTCAAGTATGGAAGTCGGCAGCTTGGGGGTTTTTGGGAGCTGCAAGGGAGAAGAAGAGCAGAAACGCGCAAGGCTAGGAAGAAGAAAAATACTCCGATCCTTATCCTACTATCTTTCACTTTTAAGTCCTTCAACTTTCAAACTTTTGGCTATTAAGCCCAAAACAATATTTTTCCACAATTTAGTCCTTAACTTAATGCTAAAATATCACAAAATTTTGGGGTATTACAGGATCCGCCTATGTCAAAAACTAAAAAGCCGGCTATGGCATGAGAGTCAGCTCAAAAATTGGAAAGTAGGACTTTTGGTTTGTTGAGTAAAGCTGACTGTGAAAAGTTGAAGCTGGATATACTAGGTTGAATAGTTAAAAATGGAAGTTTTGAGACTACTTTAAAGGAAATGCAACTAATTTGATTTTCCCCCACTTAACTAAGTTAAGTTGGACATCGACTATTAGATCATGTAATCATAGGCATACATCGATGTCTACATCATGTTTTAAGTATCAAAAATCAATAATTCTTATATCAAGATATTCAAGTAACATAGTTATACGGGCAAAAAGGGTATTTTAACCCATGTATTTTTTGATATTGTTGAGATTAACCCCGTAACTTTTTTCTACAATATTTGAACCCCGTCACTTCTATATTGAAATAAATTAATATACTTACTTTTCGATTGAAATAAATTAGCCAAAATCTAACGTATGACGTCATGAAACATAAGTTTATCGTGAAACCCATTTTTTTGTAGTTAATACATTGCTGACTTGAGGCATGTGAGACCCATTTTGTGACTTGGGTTGATGTGGATTACTTTTTTTAATGACATGGCCGCTTTTACTTCCCCAAAAACTCACCCACTCCAAAGCTTAAAATTGAGCATCTAGGTTTTTGTCCTCTATGAAATCCATCTTCACCATTAGTAGCCATTTGATGATTGTCTGATTTGCAGAAACCGACATTGCATCACCAACCAAACCCAAACCAACACACCCAAATTGCCTTCCAATTTTATCGACTTCTTATGTTGTCTGTGAACCCCAACCCTGCTCATCGGTTTTACTTCTTCGATCCTTATGAACTCGTGGTCTCACTCCTTTGCCGCCTTCCAATTTGCCACCGCTGCTGCCGTTGGAAGTACCAACTTCCTTGTTGATGACCTACGTAAGAATATCCAAAAGCCATATGCCATTACCAAATCTAGAGAGAACTGGACTAACCAGTAGCACAACAAGTTTTTAGAAGCTCTGCAGCTGTGAGTATTTTTTGTTTCTTTCGTTAAATTCAACTTCTTTTGGCTCACGACGATGGTAATTGAAGGACTTTTTTTCCGCTATAATGAATTTGAGGTGAATTAGGTGAGAGAAGGAAATCATTAGATTTTGGATGGAGTTTCTTTCTTATTTCTTAAACGTGAAGTTTCTTTCTTTTTGTGTAAACATGAATCTATCTGCAACCAAATTGGAAATTAGGTTTGTGAAATCAAATTGGAGTGCCATTTTGAAGAATAAATCCGGCGATGAGAGTGAAACCAGTCAACTTCTTAAGAGCATTATTTGGTGATGATTATTATATGTGTAGATTTCAGGTAACATATGATTCTTCATCTTTTCATATTGACATTTTGAAGGCCAAAATTGATTTCATAGAGGACAAAAACCTAGATCCCCAATTTTAAGCTTTGGAGTGAGTGAGTTTTTGGGGAAATGAAAGGGGTCATGTCATAAAAAAAAAAGTAATTCGCATCAACCCAAGTCACAAAATGGGTCGAACATGGCCTAAGTCATCAATGTATTAACCGGAAAAAAATGGCTTTCACGGTAAACTAATGTTTCATGATGTCATACGTTAGATTTTGGCTAATTTATTTCAATCGAAAAGTAAGTGTATTAATTTATTTCAATATATAAGTGACGAGGTTTAAATATTACAGAAAAAAGTTCGGGGTTAATCTCAACAATATCGAAAAGTACATGGGTTAAAATACCCTTTTTGCCCATAATTATACAATCAAAATATAGACATCAAACTCATTAATTTGAATAAATTTCAACAAGTAGCCACATCAAATGTAAAGACCTTATCAAGCACTAGGATCTAACATGCCAAGCTTATTTCTAACAAAGAAAAATCTATCATGATCAAGAGGCTCTGTAAATATATCCATTAATTGATTTCGATTATCAATAAACAATAAATCAACATCACCATTAGCAACATGATTCCTAATAACATGGTGCCTAATTTCTATGTGTTTAGTGCGAGAATGGTGGATGGGATTCTTAGTGAGATTGATGGCACTAGTATTTTCACATTTAATGGGAATATGATTCATTGTAATGCCAAAATCCAAAAGTTGTTGTTTCATCCACAACACTTGAGTGCAATAACTTGCAATGGCTATATTTCAGCCTCAATTGTGGAAAGAGCAACACCATTTTACTTTTTTGGAAAACTATGATATGTGCATATTACCAAAAAATTAACAAGTTCCACTTGTACATTTTCTATCAATCCTATAACTCGCATAGTCTGCATCCAAATATGAATGTAAGTCCAAGGAAGAACTCTTAAGATACCATATACCAAGATTGGGAGTATCCCTTAGGCACCTAAAGACTCTTTTAAATGCAACTAAGTATGACTCCTTCGAACAAGCTTGATATCTAGCACACAAACAAATACTAAAGATTATATTTGGTCTACTTGTGGTTAAATAATGTAAGAAACCAATCATGATGTTATAAAGCTTACGATCAATAAGCTTACCTCCTTTATCCTTGTTGAGATTAATTGAACTACTCATAAGACTAGCTATTAGCTTACCAACCTCCATGCCAAATTTCTTAAGCATCTTCTTTGTGTATTTGCTTTGGTTGATGAAGATGCCCTTTTTGGATTGTTTGATTTGAACTCCCAAGAAGAAGTTATGCTCACCCATCATGCTCATCTCAAATTCACCTTGCATAGATTTTTTCACACCAAGCTCTGGGAGCTTGTTTCAAACCATATAAGCTTTTGAAAGTTCATAAATATGGTTTAAGTAAAATGGATCTTCGAAATTGAGAGGTTGCTCAACATATACTTCTCTTGAATCTAATCATTTAGGAAAGCACTTTTAACATCCATTTGATAAAGCATAAACCTTTAAAGTATGAAAAGGCCAATAACATTCTAATTGCTTCAAGTTTAGCTACCAAGGCAAAAGTCTTATCAAAATCAATTCATTCCCCTTGTCAATAGCCTTTAGCAATTAGTCTTGCCTTGTTTCTAACAACAATACCATTCTCATCTAACTTGTTTCTAAATACCCATTTAGTTCCTATGATGGGATGGTCTTTAGATCTAAAAACAAGATTCCAAACCTTATTTTTTTCAAATTAAGCTAAGTCCTCTTGCATTCCTATCACCCAATTAGGATCATTTTTAAACTATCATCAAGATTCTTTAGTTTAATTTGAGATATCAAAGCAACAAAAGCACAAGTAGTATGAGCATAGATCTAGTAGTTACCCCTTTTGATGGATCCCCAGTGCTTTCATTACCTTTGACATAGGATCTCTCTCTAGGGAAAGTTGGTTCTCTTTGCTCATGTGTTTGTTGCACTTCATTTTTGTCCTCTTCATTTGTCTCATTTTGAGGTTCCTTGATGTTGTTCTCCTTGAGATTCATTACTTGCATTTGTTCTTCAATAGCATTTACATCAACATCATCACAACACTTTCTAGAGCAAGTGGGGTTAGTTTTATCAAATACCACATGAATTGATTCCTCAACAACTTTAGTATGCTTATTATACACACGATAAGTTTTACTACAAGTGGTATATCCAAGAAAGATGTCTTCATCAATTTTAGAATTAAATTTTCCGAGAAAACCCTTTCCATTATTCAAAATAAAACATTTGCAACTAAAAGCTCTAAAGTAGGAAATCTTGGGTTTTCTTCCGTTGTAAATTTCATAAGGGGTTTTGTTAAGAATAGGTCTCACCATAACTTTATTCAACAAATAACAAGAGGTTGAAATGACTTCAACCCAAAGGTATTTTGGCAAATCATTCTCACAAAGCTTAGTCCTTGTCATTTGATCAATGGTATGATTTTTTCGTTTAACCACCCCATTTTGTTGAGGAGTTCTAGGGGTGGAAAAGTTATGATTAATACCATATTCAATACAAAAATCTTCAAAATCATTATTTTCAAATTCTCCCCCAAGATTACTTCTAATAGAAACAAGAGGTAAACCTTTCTCATTTTGAAGCTTTTTATAAAGACTTTTAAAAGCATCAAGTACATCTTTTTTATGTGCAAGGAAAGCTACCCATGTAAATCTAGAGTAGTTGTCAACCACAAGTAGTACATATGATTTCCCTTCAATGCTTAGAGTGCATATATGTCCAAACAAATCCATATAAAGTAACTCAAGTGGTTTGTTTGTAGATATGCACTTCTTAGTGGAACTCTAGTTTGCTTACCCTTCATGCATGCATCACACATACTATCAACATTCACATTCACCTTAGGCAAACCATTAATAAGTTCATGCTTTAAAAACTTAGAAACAACACTCATGCTAGTATGCCCTAATCTTCTATGCCACAACCAAGTATCATCATTAGAAATGGAAGCAAGACAAACATTTGCATCTATGCCATGCAGATCAATCACATATACATTCTTAAGCCTCTTGACAACAAACAACACTCTATCATCTCTAGAATCAATAATCTTGCAATGAGATTTAGAAACATAACACTAAGCATACAATCACACAATTGACTTATACTAAGCAAGTTATGTTTCAATCCATTCACATATCAAACATTATCAAAAGAAATAGATTTGTCACCTATTTTACCAATTCCTTTCACAATTCCTTACCCATTGTAACCAAAGGTCACAGTTTCTCCATTTAAAGTGATGAGAATTGTGAAGGATCACCCATCATGTGCCTTGAGCATCCACCATCTAGATACCATTTGTTCTTCATTTTGCTCACAAGGCACACCTACACAACAAAAATCAAATTTTGATCTTAGGTACCCAAATTTGCTTAGGTCATTGAGGGTTAGTGCTTATTATTCCTTTTGGAACCCAAATTTGCTTCACTTACCTTGAGCTATCAACCTCTTCAAAGAACATGTATAGGCAAAGTGTCTTTTTGCACCAAAACAATAACTACTAACTTTAGAATTAGAGGATTGACTTTCTCTTACAAAGTTCTTAAAAGTCCTTTGCTTTTTAGAATGATCAAATCCAATGCCCCCTTTCTTAAAAAAATACAACCAAACTTCTCTTTACTCATAGTGAATTTGGAAATCACATTCTCAAGATCACAAATTTTCTTTTTCAAATTCTCATTTCCATTTTCAAAGCATTTTTAGATTCTTCATCCTTCAAAGACAAAATGTCAACATTTAAGGAGATATTCTCTTTAACTAAAATCTCATTTTATTTTGAAAGAGATTCAATCTCATTTTTAAGTAAGGAAATAGTTTTAATAAGAGCAAAATTCTCATCCCTAGTTTCTTGATATCATTCATAGAGCATTCAATAACTTTGCATAAATCATCATAAGAATACTTAAAACAACTTTCATTAGTTGAACTAGGGAAGTTAGAGTTTACCTTCTCATCGTTGTTACTATCCTCTTTAAGCCATGAAGCAACAATTTGCAACACCATTCTCCAAGGTGCTCTCACTTTCTACTGAGCTAGTCTTATCACCACTCCATGTGGTGACAAAAGCTTTCTTTTTCATACCCTTCTTGTCTTGCTCTCACCCTTTTTCAATTGAGGACATTCATTTCTATAGCATCTCATCTTGTTGCATTTATAGCACTTCACATTCTTTTTGCTAGACTTTCCTTCATCTCTTTTCGCAAGTCTACTTTTGAAGTTCTTTTTCTTCATGAATCTTCTTACTTCTCTACCGACCAAGAGGAGATGTCTTCACCATCCCTAGTATCATCTTCACTTTCTTCTTTTTGTTTGTTAGCCTTGAATGCAACATTCTTCTTTTTCTCAACCACCTTAACTTTAACATCATTTTGGGTATTAATCTCATATATCATCATTTATCCAATAAGTACATCAAGCTTGAGAGTGTTACGATTTTTGGCCTTTTCATTTGCGGTCTTCTTGGCTTCCCAACTCTTAGACAAGCTTCCAAGGATCTTCCTCACCAATTCTTTAGCTAGATATACCTTTCCAAGAACTTTGAGATTGGCCACTATATCATTGAATCTTGTGTACATGTCTTGAATGCTCTCTTTCAGCTTCATCTTAAAGAGCTTGTACATGTGAATGAGTCTATTGATTTTTGACTCCACTTGATTTGTCCTTTCATGTGTTGTGTCAACATGTCCCAAATCTCCTTAGCTGTATCACACCCAAATGTTCTATTAAATTCCATTGGATTGAGAGCACATTGAAGCATGTTGATTGCTTTGTTGTTGATCTTAATCTTCTCCAAGTCTTCATCATTCCATTCAATTTGTTCCTTTGGCACTTCAATTTCTCCAACAACTTTCATTGGCACATATGAATTATTCATAGTCACAAGCCACACCTTAGGTTCATTAATAAGCATGAAGACCTTCATCTTATTCTTCCAATAATTATAGTTAGAACCATCAAAGAAAAGAGGCTTGGTAGTAGACAAACCTTCAAGTGGTGTAGTAGCTTGAAATTGAGCCATCCTTGATAAACTCCTAGGTGGTTAAACCTTTAGATTAGAGCCCTAGCTTTGATACCAATTGTTGGCTCAATGCACTCCAAGAGCCAGGTGAATTGGAGTTTCAAAAGTTTCTTCCCCTTTGCAACCACAAAGCAAAAATCAAAGAGAGTAGATAAGAGAAGCTAACACAAAGATTTTATAAAAGTTTGATCCAACTACTACCTAGTCCTTTACCTTGGCTTCACTCACCAAGGATTTCCTCCACACTCTCTATTAACAAGACTAAAGGTGGCTTAAAGGCACCACTCAATCCTTTTATAAAAACACAGGTTTTCTCACAAATCTCACCCCTTTACAAGACAAACCCAACAATCCTCACTATAAATCACTCCTGAAGGAATAATCACATGCCCAAGATAACTCTCAAAGAAAACAAGTAGAGGATTACAAGTAAAGATCACTTAATGATCAAAATCTTAAGTTAAAGCACAAGGATCACAAATTGGTAAATGAGAGATATGCAATGAAAAATGTTTAAAATTTATTTCAAGACTTCTACAAATCATATTTATACCTCATTGGTTAAAAATAGTCGTTTCTAGCTATTGGGGTGCATTTAATGTCCTGCAAATTAGTTTAAGTTCGAGAAAACATGCTGCAAACTTTGTCAAAGAGCTAGCAATACCTTTAGAGCCAACTATGAAGAGCTGGATATCATAGCTAAAGCTGGCTATCTTGCTCCATCTGTAGTTTCTATTTTTCTATTGAGTCGGTTGCAAAACACAAAGTTGGCTTAAGAAACCTGACTTCAAAAGATTAAAAAATCTTTGAAGAATTTGACTGTTGAGCATTAAATGTGCCATGATAGGCAGTTGTAGAATCATAGCCAGTTTTGCATCCATTTTCCATGGTGCCAACCATAGGTTTGAACTTTTCACTTGTAAAGTTAGCTACAGAAAATCATAGCCAGCTCTCTGCACCAATTTCAACATTTTAGTTTGTTTTCAATGCAATTCAAGTTCATTCACTCTTGCCAACTTTTAGGTCATAAACTACACACTTAAATAAACAAATTAGTAATTCAAATGTGTTTTGTAATCATCAAAATCATAGGTACAACAATATTTATATTAAATTTTATTTTTTATGTTTAATTTTAATATTTACTTGTTTATTTCTTCTTCTTTTTGTTGTTTAATGTGTTGGTAAGTAATTTTCTTAATAAAGAAATTTGTAATTTTTCCTTCAATTTAAATAAGATATTAATTTCTCTAAAAAAAAGGAAGTAGTTTTTCATTTTGTAATTACATAATAATAATGATAAAAACTAAAAAAATATATGATATTAGCATTTATCAACCTGAACTTTGAAAAATTAAGAGAAAAGTAATTCTAAAATTATATCGTTTCAATAAAATATTATAGGAAAATATAAAAATAGTTTCCTTTGTACTTTAAAAATAAGTTATTTTAGTGTTTTTCATTGAAAATTTATGGTTAAAGTACCATTTTGGTCCCTCAACTTTTCACTTTGGCACCAAAATTGTCCCTTAACTTTAAAAAGTACCAAAATTATCCTTAAACTTTCATTTTCAATACTAAAATGGTCTTTCCGTCAGTTAAATGACAGGTGTCACATTAACTTGCCAGCAAATCGATTCTTTTTGTTACTTAACTAATGACATGGAAAAAAAAAAAACCATAGTTGGTCTATGAGTTGGCAATAGTTGGCATTTTTATTTAGTTTTAAAATAATAATTTTTTTTTCATCCACGTCATCTCTTCTTCCTCTTTCACTTTCTCTCTCCTTTTCCCTTACCTCTGCAAACCAGATCTAGGTTCTCTCTCAAACTTCATCTTCTTCCTCTTTTCCTCCTCCCTCCTCATCCTTTTTCTTTCTTCTTCTTATTCTTTCTTTCTCTCTCTTCTCCCTTCTTCTTCTTCTCTCAAACCCAAATCTGGCATTTCAGCAACCTCGCTCACCTTGTCTATGAGCCCAATATCTGTTACACAAAATTACACTCGACTCTTGTGCAAAGAAGAGTGCTTGAGGCACACTTCAAAATACAAGACTAGAATAGAATTAAACTTTCAACACTTAATAGTCACACAATACAAATGAAAAGACCAAGACATAAATTAGACTGGATTTAGACACTAGAGAAGAGTAAGTGAGGAAAGTTAAGGTAGCTATAGACTATAGTTAGACATATATGAATACACCATGTGTTATCACTGGTATGGTACTCAAAAAATTGGGAATAAATTCTGAAGTTTGCAAAATGAAAATCAATGAACATTAGTAAAAAATATAATGTAGTATATAATGGAACCCAAAACCAAACTAATCTACTGAGGTTGTGCCCACGTAGTCAGACCACTACAAGTCTATGAAAATGTTTGATATTAAAGACTGACAGTTTCCTTTGCAAGTTATTTCAATAATATTTCATTAACATAGATCCCCATATATACCTTAAATTCAAGCACATAGAAAACAACCAAGGAAGGTTTAAATTAGACTGAAAAGAAACATTGTTTTCTAAAGGTACAGCACTTGCAGTGCTAGTAGTTGTAGTTGATGATGTGCTAGCTCTAGCGACTGGCCTCCTACGCATCCTACGAGCACCAGTGGCGCCAACCATAACTTCCCTCCTTGGAACCTGAAACTAACACTAGGGAATAAGAAACAAAGAAAAGCCCAAAATTGTTCATCTAGGAAACCTTCAACATTGACGACTAAATGCACAAAATTGGTGAAATAGAAAAAAGGGTAAAGAAATGGACTTGACGGTCTTTTTCGTGTTCCTGAGCTAATCGCGAATCCAACCAGTGTTTCCATAGATACAATTGGCTTCCTCATGGGGGAGTAGTAGTGCCACAAGCGCATCCAAGATGAACGAGGTGAGCGAGGTTGCTGAAATGCCAGATCTGGGTTTGAGAGAAGAAGAAGAAAGGAGAAGAGAGAGAAAGAAAGAATAAGAAGAAGAAAGAAGAAGGATGAGGAGGATGGAGGAAAGGAGGAAGAAGATGAAGTTTGAGAGAGAACCCATCTGGTTTGCAGAGTTAAGGGAAAAGGAAAGGTAAAGGAGAGAGAAAGTGATGAAAAAAAATTATTATTTTAAAATTAAATAAAAAAGTTAACTAATGCCAACTCATAGGCCAACTATGGTTTTTTTTTTTTCATGTCATTATTTAAGTAAAAAAAGAATTGATTTGCTGGTAAGTTAACGTAACACTTGTCATTTAACTGATGGAAGGACCATTTTGGTATCAAAAATGAAAGTTTAAGGATAATTTTGGTACTTTTTAAAGTTAAGGGACAATTTTGGTGCTAAAGTGGAAAGTTGAAGGACCAAAATGGTACTTTAACCAAAATTTATTAAAATGACATAGTTTTGGGCTATTTTTGCCTTTCAAGAAAAAGGTTTTGGTGTGTTTTTCCTCCTAATTTTTTAGATTTTTATCATTTATTTATTTATTTAACATAGAAACTAGGGATTAAAGGTAATTTTTTAGAGTTCCATCTAATGAACACTTTTCCCATAAATTATTTTAGTAGTAAGGAAAAAATAATTAACTACTTTGTTGAATTTGTGCTTATTTGTCATTTGGCATTAATAACAACAATTAACTGTCATATAATGAAATAGTTATTGATATCTATTTATTAAATTGGACAATAATTAGTATATCTTTCAGTTTAACACATTTCATATCACATTCATTAAGAAATTAATATTTTTAAATTTGAATTACGAGTAAGAAAACTTAAAATTGTAGATTTTAATGGTTGAACCAAGAAAACTTAAAGATGTAGATTTTAATAACTATATTGGTAGGTGTATTGAATTGAAAGGTGTACCAATAATTTTCCTATTCAGTTTTGCTGCCTTTAAGGCCCATAAACTAAAATATACTATAGCTAGACAGACATTTTTCAATGTCTAAGTCACTTTTTATGATTATTTGAGTGATTTTTATTTCTAAATTTGGAAATTATTATCTATAAAATTTTATTTTTCCTTCTAGATTCATCTCCCATTATCCTCATCTTTTAACTTGATTTTTTCTCAAGTTTCGAATTCTTTTCCACCACATAGTTCTCATCTGTCCTTAAGATTTCAACTTCTTGTTCTTATTTGTTAACTCGATTTAAACTTGAATTTTTATTTATTTTTCACTAACAATTTTCTTCCATTTTATATTGTCCTTTCTTCCTATCATCGTAAGTTGATTTAAACTTAAAATTTTTTATCATTTTCTACTAATCAGTATCTTCCGTTTCTATTTGGTTGCATAAATACTGATACATTAGGGTGCTGCAGTTGGATATCTATTTAAGGGGTTGAGCATTTACTGGATATTCAACTTTTGGTACGTTGATTTATTGGAATTTTTTTATTTCATTATTATTATTATTATGGAACAAAAATTCGATTCAATTGATTCGTTGGTTAAAAAAGATCTGGCAATTGAATTCAACTTTGTTTGTCTAGATTGTGGAGTGCTGGTCCTCTAAACAAGCCTGATAATGAATGTGAATTGGATTTTGTTGGTATTGATCAGAAGGAAAATTTAGAACATTATTTTAGGTTTTTATTTTTTTATTTTTTGTTATTTTACAATCACAAAGGCTTTTTTATATAATTAATAATTTATTCAATATAATATCTATGTAATTTTTTCTTAAAATCAGATAATGGACTATACAATGAAAGATAGCCCTCTCCTTTTGAAACTCCTCCGCTTATCTTAAGTTTCAAACTTGAAATTTCCAAAGCAAAGATTTAAGTTTCTAACCACTAGAAAGTAACTTAGGAGACACAATATAATATTTGATTAAATAAGTGAAAAGTTTACCTCAAGAATCTCCTAGAAAAGGTGCTTCCTGAAGAAACTATCAAGTTATTTAATTTGTAACCAAATATCGCAAGGTTATTCCAAGTTGTACTTATTGCCATATCTTATTATCAATAAGTTCTATTAATTGAAAAAGCTCCCACAGGTAGCTAGTTTGATACTATTTGGGATATGCCTCGATAATGGCTAGAGGAGCAGGAATAGTGACAATTTGATGTCTAGGGAAGCCTCCTTTCTCCAAGAGTTTTTCCCATTCGAGCTGGGTCCTCTCTCTCCCACCAGATGTGTGGGCAATCATTAGAAGATCGAATATAAAACCGAGGTCATCAAACATGCCACTGCCATCTGGTTTTAGAATGTTTTCAATGATAATAACCTTGCCAGTCTCTGTAGGTATTGCGTTTCTGCAGTTTCTTAGAATCTTAATGCAATCTTCATCATTCCAATCATGCAATATCCACTGCAAAAATAGTTAAATATATGTATGCTTACAATTTGATCTAAACGAGATTTGAAATATTGATAATGACACAAAACGTAGGCATTTATTAGACATTAGACTTAAAGACTAAACATAGGCATTTATTTAGGACATTAGACTTTGGAAAATACAATATTAATCCCTTAACTTTCAATTTCATTAGTCACTTAATTAGCAAGTTAGTCCTTTAACATTCGCTGATAAAATAAGTCCCCCAAGTTTTGAAACAATCGGGAACTTAAGTCCACATATTGAAATTAAATACCCTCATATTTTCTCACTAATAATAGAAATAAAAATAAAGTGGTGTATTCTTGATTTAATCCAATACTCCCTCCATTCCAAAATTATTAACATTTTTTTTTCTTTTTCCCAATTAAGAATTTGTAGACAATTTATACTTTACTTATATTACTTTGATAAAAAAATAAAAATAAAGAAAAAAATTTAGTAATAAGGTGAATAATTAAAGTTTAGAGATAATAATAAAATTAAAGTAACAAAAAAATATTTATTTATCTTAAAAAGATAACAATTAATTTAAAACAGTTTTCATTCTTTGAACCCCAATAATTTGTATGGTAACTAATAACTAAAAAAAGCAAATTAATGATATGAGTTTTCATCAATAGCTTGCATTTTTCTTTCTACTCCCTCCAACCTAGAGTAATAGACAGTTTTTACTTTTATCTTGGATTAAGAATTTGTAGACAATTTCTATTTTTTCCTTTTTTTATCCTTAAAAAAAATAATGAAACTTTTTTATGATAAGATGTATAATTAAAATTAAAAGATACTATATTATAAGTTAAAGTAAGAAAAAACTATGTCTCTATTTAAATATAAAAAAAACAACTATCATTCTTGGACAAATTTAATTAAATAAAAAAATGTCTATTATTCTAGGATAAAGGGAATACTAGTTTAGGATTTTGATTAAACTGAGTCTCAATGTTTTAAGTCGAATGACTTACTTACTAAATATGAAAGTTGAAGGACAGTATATAAATTTTCGGTGAAAAGACAATTTAGCAATTTAGGCTTTTGATTAACAAAAAAGTGTTGTAAAGTGCACATTGCACTGGACTGTACAGTTTATATTTACTTTAAAATTTATATTAAATAAAAATAAAATTTTAAATATTTAACATATATAATTATTTTTTAATATAATTGAATTGAACTAAGTTTTGGGTTTAATTTAAACTCAACTCGACTTGATTTTCCGAGCTCATATTTGAAAAGTTGAACCCAACTCAAGTTTGAGTCGAGTATTTCAACTCATTTATATATCTAATTTTGTTAGAGACTTGATCAATATTGTGGTCCCATTGTTAAATCTTTCAAAAAATCTTCAATGTCATGTCTCTTTTTTAAAGCTAGGTTCAAAATTGCTGAAGGGCATATATGAAAATTGACAAAATATCGCTGTAAATTTAGAATACACATAGGGTTTGACATGAATTTTATTGGAAATGTTTTTACAGGAAAGGCACCATAAAAAAAGTTGAAAAGTAATTTAGGGAAAATTGATAAGTTTTGTATTAAAGTTTTGTTGAAATTTTGTTGGGTTGTTAAGTTTTTTGTATTTGGAAAAAAATTAACATAGAGAAGCTTATAGAAAAGTTGTTGAATAGATCCCATTTAGGGGATGTTTGGTTGGGGTGAAACTTTTCTCCAAGGTTATTTACGTATTGTCATATATTGCTACCATAACAAAAGAAGAGTAAAAATGACATTTTTAATCTTTATTTTCTCAGACATAATTCTCAGTTTGTGAATTTTTCTTTTCACGCTTTCCAAAAATAAGTTTCTCTCCAACTTTCCTTATGTAGAACCCACTCAAAAACTTTCCTACCAACATTTTATATACTAATTTCATACCAAACACATAAAAGTTAGTAATTCAACAAATTATGGCTTAATTCAATTTTTAGTCTATTAACTATCACCTTGATTTCATTTTAGTCTAGAAACTATGTTTTATTTCTAAATGGTCTATTAACTTTCAGATTCATTTCAATTTCATCTACTTGGTCAAAGATAATGGAAAGCTTTCTATTCTGTTAGAGAATAGTTAGTCCTCTAACTATATTTTTTTTACCTTTTAGTCCTCAAATTTATATTTATTATAAAAATAGCTTGTATACTTAAAATTATTATTTTTAGGCTCTAATACCAGATTTTTATACTTAAAATTGTTATTTTTAAGTGGTCTATTAACTTTCAAGCTTTGATACCAAATTAAAG